AACGTCATAATCACATGAATTGCCCGACTATTGTAATGAATATACTTATATAAATAACTATTTAAAGTATATGAATAATATATATATATATATATATACATATTGTCAAAAATTTGGTTTTCTACCAGCATATATTTATATAACATTATATATACATTTGATATGAATGTATTGGCAAAGCAAAAGCCAGGTAGATTTTTTTCCAGTTAATGGCTGAATTGATTTTATTTTTGCCACAAATTTTGGACAATCCATGCAATAAACTCATATTTAAAATGCAGACATATTAGGCTATGATTATAACATACATATATATATATATATATATATATAATATATATATCAATTTATTTATATAGTTTTATTATTATAGATGGCTAAACATCTCTTAGAAATTATTATTCAAACAAGCATGATAGAGACACATGGATATATACCCATGTAGAGACCCTTACCCAGCCACAAATTTTCAAACTACCCCTTATAAAGTATGTTAACATCTTTAAACCCATCCCCATTTTGAAAATTACCATTTTGTCGCTAGCTATTCAAAAATTATTCATGCAAATTTTTATCGATATTATGTATATATGTATGTACATGTGTGTGTATATGTGTGTGTTTGGGTGTAAGTAGGTGGTAATAGATGTGTGTGTATATATATATATATATATATATATATATATATATATCTGTGTGTGTGTGTAAATGTGACGCTAAAAAGATAGCATAAACTAATTATTTTTTAAAAGAACTAAAATAAAAACTATTATTTAAATCCGAGTTTATTGAATGAAATGAAATTTATTCCAAATGAATGATTTTAGATGCACATATACTGAAAGAAATTTGGACAGACAAAAAGATTAAGGCAGTTGACATCAATAAAATCTAATTATATGGATAAAATTCATGAAGGCATTTCTGCATGCACGCATTGCGTAAAACAAACTGTTGAAATCATAAGCTAAAAGCCATGTACATATATGTATGTATATGAATATATATTAACGGATAACAACGAAATGAGTGTGTGACGAGAATAGAAAATAGAATTAAATAATTTAAAATTAAATAAATTAAAAGAGAAAAGAATAAATATTTTTGCCGATTTTTTTTATTAAAACAATATTAAAATAAAAGATAATAAAACACCTGCAATAACAATTGTCAATATCTATAGAGAATAAGTATATAATATCTATCTATATATATATATATATATATATATATATATATATATATATATATATATATATATATATATATATATGTATATATACACAAACAGAACAATTTATAAGGCCACTGAGAGATCAAATGTAATACAATATGGACATATATATAAATACATTATATATATATATATATTTATATATATATATATATGCCAGGTCAAATATAAGGTCAAACACGTCCTGAACGAAACAATGAATACTGCTCTAAATTAAGAAGTTACAAAAATACGCAAAAATGATTAAATAAAATATTATAGGTTATATTGACAAATGACTATTTCATAGTCACATACCCATGCACACTCTCTCTCTCTCTCTCTCTCTCTCTCTCTCTCTCTCTCTCTCTCTCTCTCTCTCTCTCTCTCTCTCTCTCTCTCTCTCTCTCTTTCACACACACACACACACACACACATACGAATACACACATACACATAAAAACGTGGTACATGCGTAAACATGTGTGTTATAAATAACTCATTCCAGCCAACCGACCATCTACTTGCTGAAATCATCAAGCATATTAAAATTTGAAAATTTCTGACAAATCAAGGATGAACAAGTATCCAAATACAGCTGTTACAATACTTTAGAAAGAAAAAAATCTACTACACTGTTTAAAAGGCAAAAAACTTGATAACAACATTGAAAAATATATGCATATATATATGTCAATAAATTTAAATACTTTTATATAAATGACTATAATTCTACAATATTCTAATGTGACAAATACAACTACTGGTCATCGTTAAACTCTGCATAGCCCACTTTCACATTCACATTAGGAAATTTATCTGAGAATGGGTTTTTCCCGCGAGGTGTATAAAAGAGGTCATCTTTACTCATAACCCGCCCCACAAACAGCGAATCAATAGAAACTAGGTCACTGCATGAATCATTTTTATTGGTAGATTTGGTGTCCATTGTGCTTTGATTGTCGACATTCATCTGGGGAAATTCTAATTTTGAAGGCAGCGTTAGTGAGCTTCTTTTGACGAAAATTGTTCTATCATGATTCTCCTTATCATCTAAAATATTTTCAAGAATTTTTCTCGTCATGACAACCCTTTCATCCTTGCCCGCAAATCTACTAATATCTGCCAGCACAGTAGCCATTAATGACCTAGTTTTTATGACATCAATACTAGAAAGTAGGTCATTGAATGTAGGTCGCTTGACTGGATCAACTTGGCAGCAGTTGAATGTAAATTGAAGAAAATTAATGGGGCAATCTTTTGCTAATTTGCCAAATGCAACATAATCAACTCCAAAATTTTCAGTTCTGGGTAAGTAATCTGGATCTGCCTCAACTCGAGCAATCATCTCACAGAGGACAATGCCATATGAAAAAACATCTGCCTTGGCATTGTATGGCAGACCATTGATGCACTCGGGAGCCATCCAGTACGGAGAGCCAACTACTGATAGACTGCTTTCTTTCTCCAAATCTTTAACCTTTGTTGCTAGACCCAAGTCCCCAACAATAGCAGTTATCGTTTGAGATGGGTCAATTTTCAGGAGAATGTTTTTCGAGGTGAGATCGCGATGTATGATAAATTTACTGTGTAGATAGTTAAGACCCCTTGCTATGTCTGATGCAATGTTGATTCTATCAATCCACTGAAACTCAACACTGTGGTTGTTGATCAGTTGTTCAAGGCAACCACCATTTGCAAATTCAGTCAATGCATGCATCTGACCATTGTGTACACAGACACCCATTAACTTAATAACATTGGGGTGATTCAGGGAGTTCATCAACTGAACTTCTTTCAAAACATTTGGACGATTCATACAAGAGTTATTAACTTTCAGAACCATTGTTTTGCCACTCGTCTTGTGAATCACTTTGAAAACTTCAGAGAAAAAACCACTGGCGAGTTTCTCACTGAAAAAATCATCGATTCTATAGAGACGAGATACAGCATGTTTCAGGGCTGAACAGGAAGTGCCTTCAATTGGACATTTCGTAATTTCCCCATTTTTAAATGCCAAATTGTTGCTTGTGTTGATAAGATTGTCAGTGTCGACAATGGTAGAAGTAGTTGTCAACTTTGTGTCCCCGCTTAAATGAGCATATGATGCAACAGCCATAGTTCCTTCAGTGAAAACGACATTTTAAAAAACCAAATGAAAATTATGTTGCTAATACATTATATCGCTAATTTATTTTATACTATTTATTAATTTTATTTGTTAATAATAGACTTGATTGGTCATTCAGCTATTTATTTCTAGAAGTTACGTTACATATATATAAATCCGCAGATGGAAATTATTTATAATTTTTGATTAAACAAGATCGCAATATATTTTTTTAATCAAAACTTATATGTATTTTTGTGAAAAAAAAGAAATTACGGTTCAAAATAAGAACTTTTTTTTAAAAAGAAGTTTTTTTCACCATAGTTTTTTAAAAGTTAAACACCAGAGATGTGCGATACTTTTCTTGAAGTTTACAGAGCTGACAGAGTGATACGAACATAAGACGAAGAGCCGGTCACAAACGAATGAAGACACGTTAAACTAACATATTTGTCCAGAAATATTAGAATTTAAAAAAAATCTACAATTCTAAGCAAATTAAAACAATGCAAAAGTTAGTCGCAGAAACCATTAAACACTATACATTAATAAAATGAGCACAACGCACATCCCATATGTACATATGCTCACGTAACATAATTAATTGATCATATATTAATAATATAATCAAGAATTGAACTTTCTTTACGACATAATAAACGAAAAAAGCTAATTGACAGATTTCACTGATGTGACATTGAGTATGTTCATCTTGGCAGCAGAGGACAGTGAAGTAGGCAACGTCGTAGTAGTTGAGCCGGAAATTAGTGTAGTTAGGACATTATTATTATTATTGTTGTTGTTGTTTTGCATGGGAGCTGATACAGCAGAGAAAAAATATAGCTGGACAAAAAAAGTTTAAATAAATTCACAACAAAAATCATTTTTCATGATAATAAATAAAAGATAATAAAATACAGTAAAACATATTTGAAAAAACCAAAACAAAACAATAACTATGGTCATAATAAATCGTAAAAAATGTTAAATTTATAACCATAAATCCAACAGCTAGTAAGCCATGCATCAAAAGAATACAAGCCAACAATGATAATGAGACCTGTAGAAATGTAACAATAATTTTAGTAAAAAAAATATTAAATAATTTAATGCTAAACAATAATAGTAAAAATAATAAGTTAATTAATTAATTAATGAATAATAAAAAAAACTAAATCACTAATTAGATTACAAGATATATAACAAATCATTATTATACAACGTTTCATTACAATAAACATGAAGCCACAAATTAATATATGTGTAATATAATATAATATTACGGTACACTAGTCCACTAACTTTTTTCTTTTCCTCTCGAACTGACGGCCAGACGTTAAGAGCCAGAACAACCCCGGACAAGCACATCCCTACCAACACTAATGTCCATTGCAACCAAATTAAGGGTATAAGCCAAAGAACCTATAGAAAGATTACATTTAAAAAAAACCGTTTTTCTTAAAAAGAAATTTTAATTAATTTACATAATAATAGCATGAGGACATTACTATACTATTACAGTTCTAAATGAAAATAAAAAGCATCCACCTATGTCCTACATTCATCCAATTAATAATTAATTAAATAAAAAACAACCAAACAATCAAAAATCAGCAAACCACTAATTTCCAAAATTACACTAATCTAACCACCCCCAAAAACAGAAAATTTCACTAACAGACACCGGTATGTAGATAAAGAGAGAATAACCATAGAGGCAGACCAGCTCTGAGAAGAAATAATTTCCCTGATTGCCATGCCAACGAAGAAATCCGTAAATCAGGGATGGCATGATGAGCCAGTACGTGTAAATTACAAATGTCGCCATTGTTACTTTGGAAAAAATCATGAATATAAATTACTGTTAAAACAATGATAAAGTTGGTAGATAAAACATTAAAAAGTCATTTAGTTGAATACTAACCGATCAATCAACCAATCAGAAAAATTACTAACTAAATAACCGTCCAAACATGTATTGATTCTCTCGCCATTTGTAAATTTTTCACTAATTCATTCATTTAATTATTCATTTAACACTATTATGTAAATTATATCGCAATTTGAAATTTTTAGACGAACTATAAGGCGCAAAGTATGAGTCTGTTGTTCATTCATTCATGCACTCAGTCATGCATTCGTTAAATCAATAATTCATTCATTCAGTGAAATCAACCTTTATGAAAATCATACTGCCATTTAAAATCTTTAGACGAATTGTGAGAGGCAAAATAATTGGCCATATTCCCCGAAATTGCGATGCTTAAAATTAATGTGGTACATATCCAGAACGGTCCTGTTAGAAATAAAATATATATGTATATATATAGAAAATTAAAGTCGAGACTGTCATATATACTAGAACGAACGAATGAATAAATGATTGAATGAATGATTGATTGAATGAATGATTGAATGAATGATTGAATGAATGATTGATTTCGGTTAGTAAAATTAGGGTTGATAGATAGTCATAGATAGAACTGTTAAGAAATATCACTTCATTTTCAAATTAAATGCAATGCGTGTATATGTACGAATATGTGTGTACGTGTGTATACGTGCATGTGATGCATTGATTCACGAGTATATTTTAAATAAATATAATAATTATGAATTATGAAATTATGACCATAATAATCTGGCTTAGGTCGAATCTGTGTTTGAAGATAGTTGCTTCTTATGTTAGGGTACATGGAGCCAATGATACGAGCCAAAACCTTTTAGAGAGAAAAAATAACATAATTGCCTGTCATTGATTATTTATCTAATTATTAATTCCTTTTAATATAGTTTATTTATTAATCGAGTTATTTATGTATCATGATTGTAGTATTTGATATAACTTTTTTGGATTTATAATTTCTAAAGCTATTATCATTGATAGGGTAATATGATATAATTAAGAATATATCAATAAAATATACAAGATGAAGACTAAATAATTCATAATCTCTCTCCCTCTACACTCTACATACATACACACCTGTTTAGTGTCAACATCAAAGAATGACTGATAGTACTTGAACTGGAGGAATGAAGGTTGTGATTTTTCACCAGAAGAACCTTCTAGCAACTTTAAAAATTATATTTTAATGGAATTATGAAAAATTAAAAATAAAAAATTTATTAATTATAATAATAATCAATGAAATGAAAAAACTACATAAAAAAAAACTTAATTTAATAATGTTAATAAAGTTTACAAAAGAAAGGAACTTATTATTGAAAACTTAAGATATATAATCATATATAAATATGTATTATCCTTAAAAAAAATAATATTATTAATATTATACTATGTTTATAATAATTATTATTATCTATGACTAGGGCTGATATATGTACTATAATATATATCTAAGGTAAGACTTTATACATATATTAGCTACATGTATAAAATCTTACAGAAAAATTGATTTAAATAATAATATTATTTTATTTATTTTATTATATCATTCAGTTATTTCATTATTATATCAATAATATCATTCTATTGTTAATATTTCAGTACTTCAGATTTATCATCTGCTTCAGAATCATCGACAGTAGGGAAGTTAGTGAAAACATGAGTTTGTACATGTTCAGTCTGGCCTTTCTTATGTGGATCAACATCTGATTTGGAACCTTTCTGAGATGTTGTATGTGGGATTTCTGCATAATGCGTAATAGTTTGTCAGTAATTAATACTAACATAACATTTTTTTATTTAAAGATTTTTTATTTGTCTGAAGCAGAAGCAGGAGATCCAAAGTTTGCTTAACTTGTTGGGCTACCTAAAAGTTAAACAGAAGCAAAGCTAATTATAGTAACAACATACAAAAACAGAAATTACTGATAAAAAATAATAATAAGTAGTTGTAAGTGAAAATGTGTCACAAATAAGTAAAAATGAAACCTTACCTTGAAAAACAAGATCATTGAATGACGAGTTTAATTCCTTGAAGAGAAAAATTTGAAAAAAAAAAAACATTTAGTTTAGCACGTAAAACGAGAATTTGGAGATGAAAAATTGCCAAATGAATTTTTAAAACATGAATTTAAAATTAAATTAAAAAAGGGAAAACTATTTTAACAAAAAAAATGAATAAAACAAAAACAAACATCATCATCAATATTCAAAGCAACTTTATCGCTTCTTGAAGCCATTTTTTTCTCAATTTACGCCAACTTTATTATAAATAAAATTAAATTAATTACAATCGCCAACTTTATGATAAATAAAATTAAATATTAACTATAACTTGTTTGGTACGTGGATGAACGACGGTGGATTTTAAAATAGAAATTAGCTAGTCTGTTACTAAAAGGCTTGATATATTTTTTTGACTGAATGGCTGAAGTAGTACACAAATGTAAGATTTCGTCTAAAAAAACCATCGCCAAACAAAACTTCAACATATATTCTTATTTTAATTTAAATTTTAAACGAAAATGAAAAGAAATCGTTACAATTAGTTAATTTAACGAAACAACTTGATGAAATTTTATATTTGAAAATCTGTTCTCTGACATAGTGGATGAAAATTACACCATAATACATTAAATAACACAAAATAGTTGACAAAAATAGAACAGACATTGATAATAATTATAATAATATAAATTATAATCACAAGAATACATAAATAATAGTATTGATTAATTAGAAACATAGTAGTAATCAAAAAATAAATCCAGTCTTTCTAATAGACATGAACCATGCCATAGAGAAACCTGCATTGAAAAAAATCCAAATCACGATAATTAGTTGCATAATATATTATTTATTATAATAAACAAATAATAAAATTCATTTAATTATTTCTTTATTTATTTATTCACTCATTCATTCATTTATTTCTTCATATTCATTATTCATTTATTATATAAAGTATAATGATAATTTACAAATTTATTAAACATATTTACAGTTTGTAATAATTTTAATTCAAATTATTTCTAAAACACATAGAGCATAAAATGAAAATTTTTTCTCTCTGCAAAACTTACGTCCAAAAAAGAATGTATGTCTGGAAAAATTAATTGAAAATATTAAATTATTAAAGTAAATTAGTAAAAAAGAATAAAAAATTATTATTAATAATGAATGTATTGAAAAAATTAATGTTGATATTACCATTATATATAACTTGACAACACGCGTCTATCTAACAGAAAATTATGAGATAATAATAATACTTACAAACAGGCCTCCCATTAAACCATTGGAAAAGAGAACAATTCTACTTCTAATATACTTTGGCCACTCTGATCCGGCTTTTATCATCAGCATCAACTACAATTATATTTAAAATATTTATATTTGAATTTTTATTACAATGATTAATTATTATTACCAAATTACTTGGCTATTGTATTATTATTTTATGATAATAATATAAAAATCAAATAAGTAAAATGGTAGATTAGATTGAAAGTTATATTAGCATTAGAATGAAATAGAAACTAGTTGAAGATTAGAAGAGATCTATTAGAGAAAAAATATATAAAAAAATCAAAACAAGACATACTAAAAAATTACATAAATTGTTGGCCCACTCCACTAACTAATAGTACTACTATTATTACTAGTAATATAACTTTAACTTACCATTACTTACTTCTTCAACGCTAAAACTAATCCTAATGACTAACCGACATTACAAAGGCCGTCAAAAAGTAGAATATGAATCCATAAAGACTAGTTAGGCCAATGATTCCGGCTACAGATCCGGACAACGCAGAAACGGAAGTTCGGCAATACTCCAAGAGGTTGGCATTGTGCCGGATCGCCATTTCACTAAACGGCAGGTGATCTTAAAATTAGGCAATTGATTTTAGCAAATTTTTTTATAAAATTTAAAAAAATAATAAATTTAAGATAAAAAGTTACCTTTTTTGTACTTTTTACTTTTAGCTGCAGGCGGATTAGTTGGTAATTTAACAATTCTGCCATCAGGTTGTGTCGCCATATTTATTTTTTTGATGGTATTTCACTTTTGAATAAAAAACAAAAGTAAACTTTAGTTTAAATTTTAATTATAGATAAAAATTAAAAGTAAACTTTAGTTTAAACAAAAAAAATTAAAACTTATAACAATCATTCTAAAATAAAACAATTAATTTTAAACAAATTTATTTATCAAACATTTTTATTTAGTTTAATGAAATAACAATAAATCCAAAAATACATTCAAATTACACAAAATATATGCTGAGGTTATGTCATTTATATTTAAATACCGAAAGCCGTAAGCCCGGTTAGCTCAGTCGGTAGAGCATCAGACTTTTAAGAGCTGAAAAATCCTTTAGTCATCTGAGGGTCGTGGGTTCAAGTCCCACATCGGGCGCTTGTTTTTTACCTTTTTGTTTACCTCTTTATAAAATTTTTACAAGCTTTCTACATTGACATTCAAAAATATTCGTTTAACTTGAAAAATCTTTTCATTTTATTAATTCATTATATTATATTTTACATTTAAAGACTTTTAATTATTAAAAATTCGCAAATATGGGGGCTAAAATTGAAACGTTTAAATTAAACATCAAACAATAATAATATTAATAATAATAATGTCAAATAACGATAATGCATAGATATATATCATCAACTCAATCATCATCACCATCATCATAACTATCATCAAAATCACCATCATCATCAACACCAATTCCTACGCGCATATGATTAAAATTACTCAAAACTGACAAAAAAATTTGATTGATTGACTAATTGATTGATTGATCAAAGTTAGCTCAGACGGCAGAGAGATTGGTGTGTTTCACCTCGCTATTGGCTCTGACCGGGTTTAAAATAAAAATCTGACAAACACAGAAACTGTCTCCAGCATGCAAGGCAATAGTATAAAATGATAACGAAAAATAAATAACGGAGAAAATAATACCGTCAGCCAAGAATACCACTACCTTATGATGTAAAAACTCAGAGACCATCACATACATGAGCTGGTACCTTCCATCTGCTAGTACCTTCCAATTGGTGTGTATATGTTGTAAAAATGAAGGAGTGTGTAATGTCGCGTGGTGTTGTGTGTGCGCGGCACAATCACAAACAATATTAACACGCCAAACTTTTAATGCAACTCAGAACTCAAAAAATACAAAAAAAAAATTTTTAAATAAATCAAATCAAACTAACAGATCTTAAAACTGACAACGGTTTAGTCTGACGAACTATTTAATGAATGAACGAACGAACGGACAAATGAATGAATAAACGAATGAATGAATGAACAACTGCATGAAAGAAAGGTCGAATGGATGAATAAATGGATGAAGAGATAACTTGTAGACAGGAAAATATGACATACAATGCAGGGTATGACTGATACAACAACTTCAACAAAAATATTATCAAAGAAAAAAAAAGAGAGGCTTATCAAACAGGGATAACTTATCCATCCATCCATTCAATCATTCATTTATTCGTTCATTCATTCAGTTATTAATTAATTAATTAATTCATTCATTCATTAATTCATTTTATCCAATCTCTCATTAGTTTATTTTCCCTGTCTTCTATTTGATCACAAAAACGTCCGTTCATTCATTCATTCATTTTATTCATTCGTTCGTGCATTCACTCGTTCATGCATGCATGCATGCATTAATTCTTTCATCCAATTTTAATTGTTTTCTGCAGTTACACGCAAAGATTATGTAACTCATGACTATAACGAAAAAATAAAGAAATAAATATGGGTAGGCACTAAACAGATTTCAACAACGAATTAATATCATTAAAGTTTTCAAGCCGTCATCACAATCATCACAGCATGACATCATCGTGACGTCATCACGATCAATTGTTTACATTAAGTTGTTGGCCATCAAAAGTCTTCAACATAACCTCATCGCTTTCTTAGTGCATTGCCCAATCATCACAGCCATCATCATCAAAACTCTCCCCCTCCACATCATGACATCACTATGATATCACCATGACATCACAGTGACGTCATCATCAGTTGAGATACTGAGCCAGCCACCTAAAGCGGGGTTCGCCATATCCCTGTCTCCTTAGCACACTACACATGTAAACTTCCAGGGGTCTTTTGTCCAGAAGTTGTGTCTCTACATTCTGGTGAAGGGAATGATGACTTGATTATGACTTGATTATGACGACGATGATGAAAGAGATGGGATGATAACAATGATGAGGAATGATGACTGACCTTGCCAGTGACCTTGTCAAAAAGGTCAAAGACCCCTTTTAGTTCTTCCTCGCTGGCCGCCCCATTTCTGTCGATCTTGTTGCCTAAAATTAGGATGGGGCATTTTTCTAGCTGTTCGTCATTTAGTAGACTCTGTTGTTGTGACAACGGAGACGATTAAAACAATCAATAAAACAATCAATCAAACAATCAATCAATGAAATGGCAATAATTATGCATAATAATTATAATTATTAAATAATAATTACATATAATTCATTCTTAGCCTCAACGAATCTCTCTTTATCCCAGGCATCTACTATGAAGACGACAGCATCAACGGCCGGGAAGTAGTCACGCCATACTCTGCGAGCTGTCATGATGATGATAATGATGGTGGTGTTGATGACAACAATGATGATGATATGATAAAAATACAAAATGTGATAGCGTAAATGCTTTATAAAATAAATTGAATATTAAATAGAACAACAACAATAATGGTTATTACTACAAAAATCAACCTTGTTGATGCCCCCCAAGGTCAAAGGTCGTGAACTTTATGCCTCCCAAAGTCAACTCTTCGGATGCTATTATGTATTATATTGTAAAATACAGGTTTCTTATCATTATTTAATTATATTATATTTTACCATAATTTATTTATTATTATAATTTACTTGGATGAAGAGTAGGGACGTGCTGTGATATCCTGTCGGCCTTCAGCATGTGCACTAATGTCGTTTTTCCGGCATTATCCAGACCCAGAAATATTATTTTACCTGATTTTTTTGATAATCCTGAAAATGGGATTCAAATTAGGAAGATATTAAATAATTTAGTTATAATTCATTTTAATGGAATAAAAATAAACTAAACTAGGGAATTAAATCTAAAAAACTTAGTTGCAAATCTGAGTCAGTAAATTAAATATTTGAAAAATTGTCAAAAGTTATCAAAGTGTAAGAAAATAAATTCAAACTTAACCTAAGTAACTTAAAATTCCGGCAAACCATTCAAGAAGAAACATCTCGCGAGATCAAAGAGAAACAGTTTAGGTGTACTTTTAAAACTTGTCAGACGATTATATGCGACTTTTGAATTCAAATTTTGACACTCAAAGATGTCTACTTGGTTTGTGGTGATGATGTGGAAAATTATGCGTTATCAGATTTACTTTTTAACAGTTTTGTAAATTGCGAACAAAATAATTAAATCATAAATTTGCGTATTTTTGCAAAATAATTTAAACAAGTTTCTCAAATCAAAACGTTCTATACGAAAATTTGTGCAATTTAAACGATAAATATTTCGTTTTTTATTAAAATAGTGCAAAAAGTGAACTAGTGAATTAAGAGTGGATCTAAGTTTTGAAAGCAGGTTGCCTGCTTTTGCCATCTTGCGCCTAAATATATAATGGATTTTACACCTAATTAAATTTAGTTATTCGAAGCATTCAATTATTGCGAATTTATAATGTGCAATAATTTGAATTAATTTTCAAATTTATTTCAATTTCAAAATTTTTTATAATATATAACTCAGAATGAGGATGATATGATGATACAAGGATGATCCTATAACATGGTCAAGCAATATAATTGAAAATGATGATGATGATGTTATTGTTGATGACGATGTTGCTTTTGATCCTGATTATGATGATGACGATGATGACGATGATGACGACGATGATGATGATGATGAAAATTTTAACACTGGCAATAGCAATACAAAATATTAATGATGATGACGATGTTAATATCGTTGATGTTGTTGTAGTTGTTGATGGTGATGATGATGTTGTTGATGATGAGGAGGATGACGACGACGACGATGATGGTGATGGTGGAGATGATGATGCCACCACAGGAATAAAGATGAAGAAGAGGAAGAAGATGATGACGTTGATGTCGATAATTAAATTCTGTCGCCGTATTGGCGAAGCGGAAATAAAAATGTGATGATGATGACGATGATGATGATGATGATGATGATGATGATGATGATGAAAATGAAGAAGAAGATGATGATGATGAAGATGATGATGATGAAGAAGATGATGATGATGATGAAGATGATGATGATGAAGAAGAAGATGATTATGATGAAGAAAAAGATGATGATGATGATGCAAATGATGATAATGATTATTTTGCAGTTGCTGTAGCTGCTGTTGAAGATAATGATAATGATTGTGAAGCTATTGGTGATGCAAAGACTGGTGAGATTGACGGTGATGAAAGATGTGACGACGACGACGACGATGATAACTAAGATGAAGGTTACGATGAAGATGATAATATTAAAGATCAAACAGCAAGACAACAAAGTCAATTCCATCATTACCATCTACATCATCATCATCCTCATCAT